TCAATTTTTTTAGGAGGGATGAACAAATACATTTTGAACAAAAGTTTACCATGCTTATAATAACATTAAAATATTCCCAAGATTTCAAAGCATTCGGTTTTGTAATTCCTGATTAAATCGATAAAATAAATTCACGCCTTCATTAATTTTTTTGAGTCACCCTGCATATGCAAATCCAAAAATATGAATGGAATGATAAATCACAAGTACAAACTCATCATATTTTGTACATTTTAGATACGATTTATTCGGCAAACTTTTGAGCTGACGTCATCAGTTTTTTGTAGAAGATAACCAAATATATTTTGACTAAAAATTTATTATGCTCTTTATAACCTTAAAACATCTGCAAGATTTCAAAGCATTCGGTTTTGTAGTTCCTGATTAAATCAATAAAATTAATTTACGCATTCATTAATTTTTTTGAGTCACCCTGTATATGCAAATCGAAAAAATTTGAATGGAATGATAAATCACAAGAAGAGACTCACCATATTTTGTACATTTTAGATAGGATTTATTCAGCAAAATTTTGTGGTGACGTCATAAATTTTTTAGGGGGGACGACCAAATACATTTTGATCAAAAATTTACCATGCTTATGATAATTTTAAAATATCTTCAAGATTTCGAAGCATTCGGTTTTGTAGTTCCTGAGTAAATCAGTAAAATAAATTTACGCTTTCATTTATTTTCTTGAATCACCCTGTATATGCAAATCCAAAAAATATGAATGGAGTGATAGATCACAAGTACAGACTGATCATATTTTGTTCATTTTAGATATGATTTATTCGGCAAATTTTCGAGCTGACGTCATCAAGTTTTTGGAGGGGATAAGCAAATATATTTTGACTAAACATTTATTATGCTCTTTATAACCTTCAAACATCTGCAAGATGTCAGAGCATTCCGTTTTGTAGTTCCTGATTAAATCAATAAAATATATTTACGCATTCATTAATTTTTTTGAGTCACTCTGTATATGCAAATCCAAAAAATATGAATGGAGTGATAAATGACAAGTACAGGCTCATCATATTTTGTACATTTTAGATATGATTTATTCCACAAACTTTTGAGCTGACGTCATCAAGTTTTTGGAGGGGGTAAGCAAATATTTTTTGACTAAAGATTTATGATGCTCTTTATAGCCTTAAAACATCTGCAACATTTCAAAGCATTCTGGTTAGCAGATTAAAAATTAAATTTCAAAATGTTGTTTTATAATTTTGATTTTTTTTCCAAAAATCTGGACGTTTCGGGTGAAAAGTCGATTCGGAGTTGTAAACTACATGTGTAGGACTATGTTATTTTATACAATTGAAAACCCATTTACTATGTACAATTTTGAAGTGACGTCATCGCATTAGTGGTGGGGATGATTAGACAAATTTTGGTTAGCGTTTTACCATCTACATGATATTCTTAATATAAGTACAAAATTTCACAACAATCGGTCGAGTACTTTCGGAGATTATCTGTCTAATAAAAATCCGGGGGCAGACGGACAGACGGACGGACGGACAGACGGACGGACAGACGGACAGACGGACAGACAGACGGAAATGGGAGACCTATTTCTTCGTCTTCTAGGGGTCATGAAAGATCGAGAAAACGTAAAAGTAGAGAGTCGGCCGACGGACTCGATTACAATACTTCCTTTGCTTACGCTCGGGAGTAATAAGACGTCCGGCACGGTCGCTCTTTCCTAGGAGGCGACTTCCTTCACGACGAGCTCCTTCGGGATTTGGGGGCGACGACCTTGAAACCTGGAAATCTCGCGAGAACGGTACGGCGATCCAGGAGAAGCCTGTGGTGGCAGTAACTACGCGTGCACGACGGTTTCGACTTGTTCCGGTGACGAGGAAAAACGGTGGTACGGTTTTTCGTTCGGGGGCGGCGATTCAACAACCCGTACACAAACGAGCAGAAAACCCAAGACGGTACTTCAGTAAGTGGTCGGTTCCTTCCTAGCTTTTGCACTTTCCACCAAGAACACTTTTTACTGAAGAAAACAGCCACAGTACTTCTTCCTTCTTCCTCGAAGCTTCGAGATCGAATCCGCTTCCGCCGCGGCGGCGCGGTGGTCGCGGCTTTAACCCCGGCTCTCGCGGTACGCATTCCGGTTTCTGGCCCGCGAAAATTTGCTTCGTTACACTCCCCCCTTTCGTCGGTAAAAAAAAGGAGTGTAACTTCTTTTTTTTATTACTAACCATCCCCAATACAATACCCAAAAAAAAAGACTCCGGTGTCCAGCAGGGCGTCATAAACTGTGCCAAAAAGGGTGACGACGACATTGGGATGGTTATCGGGAATCTTGAGCGGAACTTCCGTCGCTGTAGTCGGCTTAAACTTCTCGCACGTTTCTTCGGTCGCAGAACAGTCGGGGTGGTTTCCTTCAGGCCGACCGGTAATGTCCGGTTTCACCACATCTCCAACATTTGACAGTGGCCCCGGTGTTGGTTGTGGCTTCTGTGGACTGCCGCACGGGTCTGGACGACGCTGGTGGGGGACGGACGTTCTTCAGGCTTCGCGGTGGTGCCGTGAATGGCTGCTCGGGTTGCAAGGGATGGTTTTCAGACCTAGCTGGTCAGTTTCCTGCAAAAGAAGCGTAGACATACCTGGCCGCCGGAATCTGGGTCGTCGTCGAAGTGCGATTCGGCGGCGGGACTGGTGAATAGCTCCTCACTTCGGTCTGGAGCTGCTCATACTCATCGATGCTCCGGAAATCACTATGGAGAATGTACTGTCGGTACTCCGGCAGCAGGTGGCTGTACAGACGACGGCTTCTCCAGGTCGTTGGCGGCGGTTAACAATCTGGTCTTCCAGGATTTCATCGTAATTCGGCAGATAGAAGTCCCGGAACTCCTCCACGAAGTCGTCCCTGGGATACCAAAGTGCCCGGTTGTTGCGGTACCACTGCAACGCCTTGTCGGTGAGGATTTCCGGCAGCATGGTGAGCATCGTATTCGGTGGAATAGCAAAATGCTCTTGGAGTTCTTCAGTCCGCTCCAGAAACGCCGTGCGGTCGGTCTCTCCATCGAAGTGGATACGGCTCTTCCGCACCAAGTCCAGGGCTTCCCAACGGGTGTCGCGCGGGTGTGTCTAGCTCGGCTGGACCGAGTGGCGACTCAGTGTCGGTGCTGGTGATGGCACGAGAGACGGACGTTTCGGTGGTGGCGGTCGAAATTCTCGACTCAGAGACGGAGAGGTTGGTCTCGTGGCTGTCGATGGGGGCCATGGAGAAATATGGGGCGGTTCCCTGTACGTCCACGTAGTTGACTCGCCGATTCGGCTCCTAGTAGCGTCTTCAGAAGCGGGACGAGCAAGTTCCAACGGGACGACAGGTTGTGACGGGATACCTGATCAGAAGAGACGTGGCCAACTCCTCCATGTCAGTTTCGGCCTGGTGACGGAGATGGAAATCCTTCAATCGCCGGCGGAGCGTATTGACGGAACCAGAGGCGTCGATTCCAATCTCGCACAGGGCTTCTTCCAACTGGTGACGCTGCAGCTGGTGGACTCACGTCGCGACCTGAGCTGGGTACGGTCCGCCTTGGTCCTCCTTACCCAATCTGCGACGTCACCAGTTCTGACGGTGACGGTTGATGATTTCGGGGACGGCGACCACAATATGACACAAAAACAAAGAAAAAATGATCTGCCAACGGCACTTATTTCTTTCGGCAACTTAGAAAAGAGATAAAAAAAACAGACCGCTCTAAACCGACGGTCTCCCGCTGATAGCGGACAAAAATGTAGGTGGTGACGTACTTTTACTTTTTGTTCTGGATTTTATGTCCTGCCAAACCTTCCTCCACTGTTTCCACATTTTCACTCCTCGTGGTGGAACAGCATTCAGTGCCGTAGTGACTTCTTCCCATAAGTTCTAGCCATCGCGAAACGTAAAGTCTTTCGTAAATTTACCTTCCACCATGTGTGGACGTTGTTTCACAACACTTTTTGTTCCGTATTAAAGTTAGATGTTCTTTTTGCCATAATTTAAAGTTAATTTAAGTTATTTTAATAACACCCCCAAACATTTGTAAATGACCGAATGCGAAATGTCAAACCACATTATCATAGAAAACTTGATCGTCAACTGAAGCAATGTTATGTTCGCGTACACTCAGCGTACCCTAAAATTCGTGTACCGGTCAAGAATCCCGAATTTGCGGTAGACCAATACGCACACGGAACCTGTTTAAAGAAGCCGATCTTTAGGAGGGTTTGTTAATCGTGGTCTGCTTTGCCCAGGTAATCTGGAGTAGGAACTCGGAACTTTTGTATAGCATCCGACGCTGTACAACGAGGTATACCTAGGCTATTAGCGATATAACCGATACTGCGCCCATCATTGTGAAGAGCAACAGCTTGAGCAGATTCTTCGGGAGTTCTTTTTTTTTCCTTTAATAAATCACATCTATCAACTTTATTTTTCACCGCCAACTTTCAAACCAAGAAACAAACGCCAATAACACTTAATAAAGGAGCCAGATGAAACAAATTAATTCAAAGTGCCTAAAAAAATTGCTAAACAAAGCGTCTTATGATATGATACCGCCCAAAAACTTCACTACATCTTTTATTTTATACTGTAAATTATTTTGCAGACATTTTAAAATGTTGATAATGAAAAATTAGAGTGTTCGGTTAATTTTGCAGTCTAGTGTATTTTGCCATAAAAGTTTGAATGAAATCTTGAATCTATGTGGAAGTTTTAACGTTTTTGCACAATAAAAACTTATTCTTGCAAACTGATCTTTCGTTACTCCAAATGCTCTTGTATCCAAGTCTTCGACATATTGTTTCAAATTCAACAACTGGTCTTCAGTAAATGTATTGTAGGTTGGTTGTCTTTGAAATCTTTTTTGACATATTTGATCTATTAATTTAGTGAATAATAAACATAACATACGAGTGTACTGCTATACCTTATATACGACCATCTATCTACGTAAAAATGTCATTCATAAAAAAAAAAAAACAAGGGCGAATAGAAGATTTTGATGTTGATGGTTCTATACAAATATCGACCAAGTTTATAGTTTTTGTATTTTCATCAGATTTGATTCGCTACTAGATCGGATTTGTACAATGAGAATAAAGTCGGTGCTAATATTGTTCTCTGTGAAACACCGAATTTTACAGGACGCAATGTAGATGTAACATTCGACTTAGATCCATTGTCTCCTGTATGGTTTATTTTAACACTTTGTGTTCGTGTATCGAGCAAGAATGTTTTGAACTATATATTTCAAGAGATTACCTCTAATTCCTAACTTTTCTCGCTTATTTAACAGCCTATCATGGGGTACACAATCAAAAGCACAGCTTAAGTAAAGATCAAGTAAGGTGTTATATAAATCGATAGTTGCCATCGAAATCGATTTATTGCAGCGTAAATCGTTTTATTCCGTGGGTATTAGGTGATATCTATCAGCAAAAGAGTTAATTTCGTTAACATGCATTTTGCAAAGATTTTAGCCTATATCCTCTCTATGGGATTTTTTGTGTATGGGTTTTACTGTTGCAGTTTTTAGACTTTCAGGGAATATTCCTGTTTAAAGGACTGATTTATTAAGCAAGTTAGCGGGTAGGTCAGTAAGTAGCCTAAGCTATAGTGATAGGATCTGAGTGATTTACCCCATTGATGTAAGGTTTTTTATTATGTTTTTCTTTTATTAGATTGCACGCACACTTCAAAGATTTTTTTTTGTATCCTTCGTGGAAACCATCAACTTTACTATGGTGACATTAATAAAGAAATGTGTCATTTTTCTCGCTAGCAACACTTTTATAGTTAGCAACACTTTTCTCGTTAGCGGCCATTCTTCTCTCATTAGCAACCGTTTATTTGTCCGCAACAAGATCCTCGGAAGAGAAACATCCAATATAATAGTTATTCAATGCATTTATTTTGATAAATATGAAATGTAGAGTTCGTTACATGTTACATTATTAAAAGTCAATCCGTTTGAAGCAGTCGTAAACAGATGGTTGTCAGATATGTTGAAACTTAAACTTGATGAAGACTGGCAAATGCTGAAGGGGATTCTGAATGGGATACTGAAGGGGATCCTGAAAGGTGTGCTGATCTACGATTACTTCGTTTTGAGTCAGGTCACTGAAGATTTTCTTTGATGTTTGAATTTTATTTTGAATGCTGTCTTCGATGTATCTTTCGGCGGAAATTGTAGAAGACCACCTTCCAAGTCTTTTTAAATCCGAAATACTACTACCTTTGTCAATTAGCAGCCTAGTCGATGTTCGACGCATGCGGACTAGATTGTTGATGCCTTTAGACTCTTACTCTACAAAAATACATAACAAAATCTAATTTAAAAATGTACACATTCACACCTTTTCCAAAAGAACGCTAACAAGACATTCTCGCTAACTTCCTTCACATTTTTGCTTTGCCTCCATTGATTAAATTGGTCGTAGGTTTTTAAATATTTTTCTCTTGATTTATCAGGAAGCAAATTTCTAACTGCTTCTCATGCCGGAATTTCCGGTTGATAATCTTGAGAATAACTCGCGCAATCGTTCATGTTTTCGTGAAATTTTTGCTTATTGACTCGTCACCATGGTCTGCAATTATTTCAATGGTATCTACGTTTTACACCTTGATAGTTTTTTAAAAAACTCTTCGATTCAGGCCTTTCCATCAGGGATACAAAAATATAGCATGTTGTACTCATTAGAAAAGGGCGTTTTCCAGCTAGTGTAAAGACCTTTTTTGCAATCATGACTTTTTTTGATGGCTTTTGTGCATTCACCAGGGAGCGGGAGTTCGAACTTCCCGGACACGTGCATTTCCGTTGCCATGGTAACCTTAAAATACTCGGGTAGTGTCAACATTGTGACTAGTGTCCCTGTAGAGAGAGTTCCGCAAACCTACGCCATTTTAACTCCAACACCACGCGCCAACTTTAAACGAGGTGGTATGAATAATAAATTCTTGTACAACAAATTTTTAGAATAAATGTAAAACAAAGGGCAATTTTTGAATCGAAACAAAGTATTATTTCCCAATTTTATTCACATCATCCAGGTTATAATACTATTTTAATTTAGATTTTAATGATATAACAAGAATTTAGGTATACGAACGAAAGGTCAATGAAACGCAGAAATACTGAAATGTCTTATTGCATTTTGTTTGACAAAATACGCATCGCAATACTCTTACTACTTGTAATACCAGCACTATTGGTAACAATTTTTTTACTTCCCGAGCGTAAGCAAAGGAAGTATTGTAATCGAGTCCGTCGGCCGACTCTCTACTTTTACGTTTTCTCGATCTTTCATGACCCCTAGAAGACGAAGAAATAGGTCTCCCATTTCCGTCTGTCTGTCCGTCTGTCCGTCTGTCTGCCGTCCCGGATTTTTATTAGACAGATAATCTCCGAAAGTATTAGACCGATTGTTGTGAAATTTTGCACTTATATTAGGAATATCATGTAGATCGTAAAACGCTAACCAAAATTTGTCTAATCATCCCCACAACCAATGCGATGACGTCACTTCAAAATTGTATATAGTAAATGGGTTTTAAGTTGTATAAAATAACATAGTCCTACACATGTAGTTTACGATTGCGAATTGAGCTTTCACCCGAAACGTCCAGATTTTTAGAAAAAAAATCAAAATTATAAAACAACATTTTGCAATTTAATTTTGAATCTGCTAACCCGAATGTTTTGAAATGTTGCAGATGTTTTAAGGCTATAAAGAGAATCATAAATCTTCAGTCAAAATATATTTGGTTATCCCCTCTAAAAACTTGATGACGTCAGCTCAAAAGTTTGCCGAATTAATCCTATCTAAAATGTACAAAATATGATAAGTCTGTACTTGTAATATATCACTCCCTTCATATTTTTTGGATTTGCATATACAGGGTGACGCAAAAAAAAATAAAGAATGAGTAAATTTATTTTAATGATTTACTCAGGAACTACAAAACCGAATGCTTTGAAATCTTGAAGATGTTTTAAAATTATCATAAGCATTGTAAATTTCTTATCAAAATGTATTTGGTCGTCCTCCCTAAAAACTTTATGACGTCACCACAAAATTTTGCTGAATAAATCCGATCTAAAATGTACAAAATATGGTGAGTCTCTTCTGGTGATTTATCATTCCATTCAAATTTTTTCGATTTGCATATACAGGGCGACTCAAAAAAAGTAATGAATGCGTGAATTTATTTTATTGAGTTAATCAGAAACTACAAAACCGAATGCTTTGAAATCTTGCAGACCAATTTTTTTTGTTGTGCGAAATGATTTATAACTTCTTGGGTAAATTGCTCTGACATATTGTTTTTGACAAGTTCTTTTTCTATTGAAATCTGGCACATATTATTCAATCTGTCTTGGCCAGTTGTATTTCGCGCGTAATTCTTAATACGTTTTAATGCAGAAAAACTTCTCTCTACAGAAACTGATGTCACGGGTAAAGTTACTACTAAACACAGCAGTTTATACAATTCTGGCATGCAACTTTGAAGATTATTGTCGTATATAAATTTAATCATTTCAACCGGTGTCCCAGAAGTTTCTAAAATTTTGTCGTTATAAGCCACAATTAATTCATTTTTTAATTGAATATTATCAAAAAAGGGATACTGCTTAATCAAATCATTTAAAAGTCGGTCGGGAAAATTTTTGGCATAAGACGGAAAATTAACATTATTTAGTAAATCAAAAAAGATCAATTTTTCTAAATCAAGAAATCTAATTTCTATTTGATTTACTATTGTGTCCAAAATTTCAAAAAAAATGTGCCGAAGTTGCTGTTCTTTATTGGGTAATTCATCTGTTCTGCGACGTTTTGGAGTGGATTCTTCAGTGGCATCTATATCAAGTTTTTTATAAATGTTATTGAAAAAGTCATCACATCCCCTAAAAGCACGTAATTTAGATGAAAGTGACTGTAAATAATTCCTCGCTTTAGTGATGTCTGTCAACTTTTGTTGTAAAACAGAAAATATGACGTCAGTTTGTTCAAAAATAAATTTAAACGTTTCTAGCAAAAATAAGAACTTATGATCTGGTAAACTATTTTTTAAACCTACCGCTTCTCGAATTGAAACTGCATCAAATTCAGAGCTGTTAATTATAAAGTCAAAAACTTCAATTAATTGTTCTTTGTAAGCACAAACTGTAAAAATTGCACGAGAGCTAAAATTCCATCGAGTTGGAGCGCTAGTTGGTAGACGGCTTCCACAAATTTTATCTAAAACGCTAGTCCTTTTGGTTGACTTTGAAAAATAAGAAGAGAATCCCGACAAAGTTGAAAAAAAAATTCGCACTGCTGGTTGAATGGTGCTACAAGCTTTGCCCAATACTAAATTTAAACGATGTACATAACAATGTGTAAAAGTTGCTTGAGGTGCCACACTTTTAACTTTTAATTGTAATCCACTGAGTTCCCCAGCCATAACCGCTGCACCATCATATGTTTGTGCTATTAATTTATCTTTTAGATTGTATTTACTGAAATTATGTAGCAATAATTGAAATAAATCTTCAGAAGTTCGTCCAGAACTAACATCGAAAAACCCCATGAATCTTTCGACAATTTTACCGGAGATAACGTAACGAAAAATAACTGATAATTGCGATTTACAACTTATGTCAGTCGTTTCATCAATCTGCCAGGAAAAAAAAGGAGCGTCAAAAATTTGTTTGCTAATGTTCTTGTTTATAACAAAAGAAATTGATTCAACTAACTCGTTCTGAATCGTTTTTGAAGTACCAGAAAACACGGATTTATTGTCAGAATCTTTTTCCAAAAAATTTCTCAAACAAGTGTCATATCTACTCAACAATGAAATTAATTCTTTAAAATTTCCGCGATTGAAAGACGTTTCTGACTCGTCATGTCCTCTAAAGGGAAGCTCTTGTGTGCACAAAAATATAGCAACATCAATTAACCTTTTAATAATTTCTCTATTTTCGCGAACTTTGGCATTAAAATTTTCTACAGTAAAACCTGTCTATGCCGGAATCGCGCGGGTCCAAAATTTTTATCCGTCTTAAACAGGGTTCCGGCTTTTACAGGAAACCCGACTATAACGGAAAGTACACCTCTATAAAACAGAAATCAATTTTTATTAAATTGAATACATAGGTACATATAAAAAAATTATTTGAAATAGTTGTTTATTGCTATTTACTTTTTCGGCCATTTAGATATATTTTCCATGCGTGTTCTCAACTGCAAAAGGTTGGACACACTCACCGCTTTGCCATTACTCTCTAATTAATTTTAGGATATGTCTTATAATTTGATACATTTGGGTTTTTTACAACCGAACTTTTGCAAATTTCTGTAACACTCAAATTGTGCTGCTCGTGTACATTAATTAAATCCATTTTGTTGTTATTGTTGGTCGTTTTATGGGCTATTGCGAACACACATAAAACCACGAGAGATACCAATTAAATGAGAATTGAGAACAGTGATTTTCTGTTGACAAAAAATGCACTTGCAGGTCCACGAATAGAATTATATATTTTTCGTAGAAATCATCAACTTTGTTCTCGCTTCCGTTTTACACAGAGTTGGGTGCATGTATTTTGACACGTTGGGACCTACAAATATTTTCCGTTTCCGCGTTACACAGTTTCCGGCTTATACGGACCAAAATACATTAAATTAGGTATTTGGAAAAACGGGACTGCGGAAAATTTCCGCGATGAACAGTTTTCCGCCTTCTACAGAGTCCGGCATAGACAGGTTTCACTGTTTTTCAATTTTGCGAGCAGAATCTAGAGTACTGGCAATATTCTGTTGGCCGAGAAGAACAAACTTGCAAGTAGATGATATGTGATCTTTACTTTTGGAATGTTTTTCCAAGGAACGCGACAAATTTTTCAAATCTGCATATCCAGTTTTCCACCAAACCGATTCTCCACTATTCGAGAATAAAATACATGGCCAACAGAAAAGTTTATTGACAATTGTACTCCCAGCAAGCCAATCATATTTTGTGTACCAATTGAGACTGAACGCCCTGGTTTTTTGTTTTTCTCTTTGAATTAATGTTAAGCTTAGATCTGGACATGGACGTTCGCTTTCCTTTACAAACAATTTATCTTCGTATGTTAACTTATTGAAGGGACATTTATTCACGAGGAAGTTAACAATGTCATTTGTATTTCGAACTGTGGAGATTACCTGAGTACCAGATGGGCCTGCATCCATGTTCATTATTATTTAATTAAGTACAAATAAAATTAATCGGAGTATCCACAATCCACCCGTTAACCAAGTACCGAACTCTATAACGACAATGACTGAAATTTAAAATTTATCCACACTGCAAAATGCAAGAGTAGGAGAACCAATCAGATAAGAGCTGCGGCCGGCCTCAAGACTATCTGTCCTAAAGCATTTGATTCCCATAGTAAGCAGTAGCGGTAATACCAGAGAACATAGTAATTGACCCTTTTCCTGTAAGATCGTAAAACTTCCATAGTGACTTTTCGTGCGCACGCATCTTCAAAACCACGTTGGAAATTGTATCCGGCACTCCGGCAGCAGAGCAAAGGCCTGTGACAAAAAACCGCTTTGACAGAATGCAACCGGCTACACATGCGTAATCTGTCGCTCATTGGTTAATTTAAACTTGGCGCTCCAAAAATCTGACTTCGCCTGCGCGATGTTGTCTCACTCTGTGTCATTGGAATTTATATAATGTCTACTCACTTTGCTTACAGGAAAAGGGTCAATACTCTCCGTTGTAAAAACTTCGAGCGTCCTAGTCCCACATTTAAATCAAACCGTGAGGCCGGCCTAAACGCATGATAATACCAGTGATGAATAATCATAGATGTTAAATTAAGTTACCTAGATATCCGACTACCTAACCCTGCGCTGCAGAGAGAAGTGAAGCTTCAAGGTCGAGTGGCCGCCATTTGTCAGAAAGGCAAAACATTGCTGTCAATGTATGATCGCTTGGTAATATATTAGGAAAATAGTGCTAAATACAGGGTGTTATGAAATACATGGAAACAAAAAATCTGGTGAATGTAGGGAACCTAAGAAGTCAAATGAACGTTTGTTGTTTTAGTAAAATTTGAAAGGAAAATTTAACCCCTATCCAAACATTCATTCCTCCACTGATAAATAATGGTTTCACGAAAAAATGTGAAACCTAGTAACTGAAAACTGCCGAGGTGTAACTACTGTTGCTATTAATTTATTGCTAGCAACAAATAAACAATGACAATAATTAATGAACTGACAATTAAAACTTCAAAATCATAATTTAATCAACCATAAAATGAAACAAAACGTAACGTATGCAACTAGAGCAAGTTTTCAAAATGTCCACCACCATTTCGTATACACGTTTCCGCACGTCTAATCAATGATTGTTGCCTTGTTCATGTAGAGTTCTCCACACCACAAAAGGTGAAACTCCCACTCGGTAAGACAATCGTCTAATGCTTATACCTGGATCGTTTTCAACGACATTCAAAATTTCTTCTTCGGCATCAAGTGTCCGTTCTGTCCTTTCACGACCACGATCACTAAAACGAGGTTGAAATTTCCCATTTTCTCGTAGACGCTGAACAACGTTAGCAAATGTTTTATGATTTGGCAATCTTCGTTCGGGAAATGCTTCTTGGTATAAACGTCGAGCTTCCAAGGAGTTTCTTAAGGCTTGTCCATACATCAGAACCATGTCAGTCATTTCAGAATTAGAAAAATTAATTTTGTTCTTCCAAAAAAATTGCAAAAACGTCAAAAAATGATGGGCTAATGAATGTATTGTCATGTTAACAAGCAACAATTTTACCTACTTTAAATTACTATAGTGATCAAATTTACCTTTAACATTTTTGGAATCAGTAGCGCACACGCAAATTTTAACAGATTTTCAATCAATTTTATCTCGAAAACTAAAGGATTTTTATTAGATCAATATTTGATGCATAAATTCTCTACATCATGACCAATTACGTTAAAAAAAGTTTCCATCTATTTCAAAAATACCCTGTATATGTATGTACGTTGCGAACTGTTTCATGTGTATTGGGGGTGAATGTGTATGATTACGTGAATTAAAGTATAGTTCCAAAAAGTGTTGGTTTATTAAAAGCGAAATATGCCGGCATCGTGTTCCGCATTTGGGTGTACAAATCGGTTTAAACCAGGAGGAAACGTCCAGTTTTTTGGGTAATTTGCGGTCGATTGCTAAATCGGTTTGTCTTTTTATTATGTGATTTTGTCTTTAGATTTCCCCTGAAAAATGAAAAGCTCTTGGAACAGTGGGTTAGAGTAATGAAAAGAAAAAAAATTACACCAACAAAAGCCAGTAAATTGTGTAGTGACCCTTTCACTGAAAGTGATTATTTGGTGCGTCCTGGCACGTATTTACTGCTTAGGTATTTTTTTAATTTTAATGACTTCTGATTTATGTAAGAATTGGAAAACTATTTTAATTATTTTTCCTCAATAACGTAACATTTGTAGTATATTTTAAATTATATGTACTTTTGTTGTATGTCAGGATTGGCAAGCTAACAATAAAATGTGCACCTGATTTCCTTAGAACAAATAAATAATATTTTACCCTTACTTTCACCATTACCGTAATACGATTCTACAGTATTTTGCCTCTTTGACAAATGGCCGCCATGGGCTTCACTTTACGCGACGCAGTTGCGCATCTAGTAGAGTATAAGGTTAAAATCTATGTGAATAATACATGATTGGTTAGAATAACGCTGCACCTTTATTTTGTGGTTGGCATAGAAACTTCAGTTGTCGTGCTAATTTTAAATTACCCCGTACAAAAAAATGGTATGGAAGAAAAACATTTTTAATGATTATGAATGGTGAGGCCCTGCCTCACCTGCCTCACCTGACAAGCCGCCACTGATAAACTTATTCCCATGTTTTCCTAGTAAATAATATTATATACATATATATATATATATATATATATATATATATATATGGTATGATCTAACTCAAAAGACGGCGCGGCGCGAAGAAAGGCGGATGGAATCTCCATTCTCCAAGGTCCAATATCGTCCGTATTCACAGCGCGCTTATGGGAACCGAGGGATTATTCCAATTCAAAATCCAGTTCGAGTACTGCCTTTTCCAAATTAAACCTTGGGTCGACCACCGAGTAGTGCGGTTCAAGGGGATAGAGCGAGTACCGGTTGAATTCGCCTGGTGGTCGTTCCGAGGCCCTCTTCTAGTCCGTTTGAATTCCACGGTGCGTGGGCGGTTGCCGAGAGCGTCATCATTCGAGCGTAAATGGCACTGAGCGCTTGGGTAGCGGACACAGTGTACTAACGAATGCGCGCGGAGTGGGGCCGTGGTTGAGCTTCAGCGTGGCGTGGGATGATGGCGTTAGGTGTTCCGTTACATCCTCCCCCTCGGGACCAAAAGTATCGTCCCGATCTTGGTTCTGGACCGCGGGGTTTTTCCTAGGACGGCCCCGTTTCCGAATGGGTGCAGACGGCGCGCCTTCCTGGATGGTACTGAGGTAAGGTCTTAGTTGGGAGCTATGGTATGTCCCCAGTGGTTGCGAAGAATCTGTATTGGTTCCGATCTCGTATGAAGTGGGACCACGGGCTTGAAGTACTCGATAGGGCCCATCTCGTCGAGGTGCAAATTTAGAGCTCATTCCAGCTCTGGTTTTGCTGAGAATGTCAGTTGTTACAAGTACTAAGTCACCGGGGTTGTACTCTGGGCCGCCTTCTTCCTTTGTCAGCCTGCCACTTTTGACGAAGCTGTCCCTTTTCGTGAGTTTCACGGGCTCGACTGAGGTCGTCGGCGAATCGTAGAAGACGAGGGGTGATTCCTTCAATAAAAGTTTCGGAGACGATGCGGCCCCGTAGGTCCTGGGTGACGTCGCCGATGGTCCGAGGCTCGCGTCCGAACATTAGGTAGGCAGGGGTGAATCCGGTGCTGCTGCAAATGGCAGTATTCATGGCGAATCGGATTGCGGGGAGCTTATCGGGTCATTGGGTATGCGGATTTTTCCCTATCTGAATGGCAAGGAGTGTTTTCATATCCCTATTCTTCCTTTCTATTGGGCTTTCTGGAGTACAGCGCTGACAAATTGGATGCCGTTGTCGCTGATGATGCGTCTGGGCACGCCATACCTCAAAAATACTTCGTTGATGAGGGTCCATGCGCACTTTTCAGCAGTAGCCTCGGTGAGGGCGAATAAGTCGACCCACTTGGTTGCGTAGTCGCCAATGATGTATATCCACCGGAAACCCTTTTCGGAGGTAGGAAGTGGTCCGAATAGATCTATGGAGAGGACCTCCATCCGTTGTTGCATCACGGGCGTCTGAAGTAGGCCTGCTGGTTTGAGGTTTGAAGGCTTGTATTTCCGGCATTCGGGGCAGAATTTGACGTGTTTTTCGACATCTCTTCGCATTCCTACCCAGTAATAGCACTGGGTTATGCGGGATAGGGTGCGTTCTACACCTAGATGTCCGGCTGTTGGAGCATCGTGATATTCCTTAAGGACGGTGATACGCTTGTCCTTAGGAACTACGTACTAGGCTTCTTCGCTATCGCTGTCTGACCCATAGCGATAGAGAACTTCTGGGGTTAGTAGGTATCCCTTGGAAGTCCAGGGTTGTGTGACGATCTCATTCTCCTGCAAGCTGCGGTGCGCTCAGGTATAACAGGTTGCGGTCAAAGTTCAGAGCAGTAACCGGAGACATTCTCGGTTCGCGTCGGCGTATCCACTTCCACCTGTCAAGGTCTTTCTTTCTCTCTTCCCGTCCACCGAAGTGATGACGTGTGCCACGTAGTGCGGTAACGCTTCCAGGAAAATCCAGAGAACGAGGAGTCATCCCAACTCGGGAACGTGGTTAAACAATAGCCTGGGTTACCGGAAAACCCGTACGTTTGAGTAAGTCGCCAGAGGCCGTTAACATTCAAGGTAATTACCGATCTAATTCTCTACGTGACCCTGGGTGGCCTCAACTGGCGAAATATCATTTCAGGCCTCTTTTATTTTCGTTACTACCCCAATGTAACATCTTCCACCCTAATCTTCGTAGCCCAGGGACCTGGTTGGAGATTCTATATGTATAAACCCCGGGACAGGAGGCGGTCGTAGGTTGCCCCGTCTTAGTTCGTCGCTGGAGGGACGAAGACACCCTGGCCACAGGAGACTCCCAGTAAGCCTCTCGAGTGTAATTTCGTTATCGCCAGCGCAATAGTTTTATGTATACCTGTAGAGAGCTCTCTCCCCGTTATACGTCGCGTCGGTGAATCTGAACGTAGTACTACACTCTCGAGGGGTTACATCCCCAGTGTACCGTTGTTGACTTAGTTATAGTTCACTGACTGTTCGATCTCCTATCTAGTCACCACCTAGTGTAAATTAGCAGCAATACACTCATATTAATATACTAGCCTAACCGTATTATTTCTACCAATTCACCGAGTTAGGAACTGGTCAGTTATTGGGACTTGTCGAGTACTCTCTCTCTCGTTCGAGCTTTCGAGACTGAGTATAGAAGTGACCCAGAGTAAAGCTCGTGGCGCCCCTCCATTTACTCGACAAAGCAACCGACAGGTAAGTTGGCACACAAATCATCGCCCTGCAGCCGTCGCCCTAGGCGGACCGACGACTTTCACCCCGGCTCTACCGCCCTGACTGAGCTAGGCGCGACAGTTGGGTTTCTTCGGCTTTCATCGATGATAGGGCCCCAATGATCTTTTTCAGTTCGGAATCTTCTAATT